GTTAGGCTTTAGCGGTTTAGAGGTAAGAGGTTTAAGGTTTAGGGTTGAGTAGTGTAGGGGTTAGGGCTTAGTTGTTTCGGGGTCTGGCTTTGCAGTGCTTTCGGTGTTTAGGGGATTGGGTTTGCAGCGCTTTCGACGCTCACACTCGGACAATCCAGCGCTTTAGGGGCTTAGGCTTCGTTTTTGGTTGCGGGGGGTATGTGTGTAGGATCTTGAGTTTGAGGCTCTCGGCTTGGGTTTTGGATGTGGTGTTTAGCCTTGACCTAACCCGAATCCGAAAGCCGTGCCCAGAAATACTGCAGAACCCTGAAACGCGCAAGGCCCCAAATCCGAAACCTTACAAAGACCGGTTCCTGTGCCCTCATCCTGCCATGAATATCCTACTTCGAGCGAGAAAACAAGAGGCGCGAAGAACAGCCCTTGAGGCTAGGGAGCTGCAGGCCAAAATCTCGAGACCCTACACCCTCAACCATAAACCCCTACGGTTCACTGAACTCGAAAACCTCAGCCCAGCACGAAAACCCCAGACCCTCAACCCCTACAGTAGATTACCCCGAAACCTGAGGATCCTGACTGCTGAACTGCTGGCTGAATTCTGTGGCATCGTTCCTAAGGTTGCTTCTGAAGCTTCTTGAAGCCCTTAACCCTAAACCCTTCCTCTCTCTCTATCTCTTTCTCATGCTCTTTCTCCTGCTCTTTCTCGTGATCTTTCTCTTGCTCTTGCTCTTTCGCTTTATCTTTCTCGTTCTCTTTCTCTTGCTCTTGCTCTTTCTCTGCAATTGCTGCAGCGGCCCTATCTATCACAATTCCCTGAACCCTAGCTTGTTCCCCAAACCCAAAACACGATCTATTCCCTAGTCCCCAAACCCTATCTGCTCTCAAACCCTAGACCCTGCACCCTGGACCCTCGAAGGATCTCTCTGAGAGGTTTTGCGACCAGCCTGAGTTGGAAATCGTGACGGATGCCGAGGAGGTGAAATTCGTCGTGGCCTCTTTGCAGGCTGAGAAAACTTGGCAACCAGAGCAATATGCGGGCCTCAACAAGTGGATTGGTTTCCTGAAACGTGTGCTATCCGGGTGTATGGGTGTCTATTGGGTGAAAATTTAGGTTTCGGTGCTTAAACTGTTCCGGCTTTAGAATTTAAGTTGCCTTAGCCTTCAGAACTTCGCAAAGCGCGTGAAGGAGGTGTGGCTCAAACCAAAGCCGATTTCAGAATCTCGTTCCGCTAGCCTGTGGCCTCCAGCCCCTGCATAATATAGGGGCCTTAATAATTAGAAAAGGGTTTTGGAACCCATTATACTATAAATATGTGCATTAGTATATTTATTTGGGCCCCTACATTACTTCATCTACGCGTCTGAAAACACCTCCAACTCCTTAACCTTAAAAGCTAAAAACACGCCTAAAACCAGGAGAGGGTCGAACTTTGGCATAGAAAAAAGCACAGACGGGTCTATCTGGGTTCGGGTTGAAGCTTCCATGGGAGCAAACGGTGGAGAGGTGGAGGGGGTTTACGGTGTGGGCTTGAGCTCAAGGATTGGAAGTTGATGGCTCCTCTGTACTCTCCTCTTGAAACGATCTCCATTCTCTTGTCGGGACACATACTCTTCGAACGCGAAATCCATTGTCATGAAAACGTTCGAATTTCATCTCTAGTTTCTGGGCGGTCTTCCACTCACTCTGGATGAGACTAGCCTGAGGAACAGTTGCATGTTTGGGGTTCACATGTCTTCTGCCGCGTGATATCCGGCTCGAAACTCGACCTACAGGGCCTCGATGATTAGAAGAGGATTCCTTCGGCATAGTGTACCCCGAAACGCTACCGCTCGAGTTCTGTGGCCCGTCTAAGTGTGAAGACCCTCATATTCCCTAAACCCTAAACCCTAAACCCGAAACCCTACTAGTCGAATCATTAAGACCCACATATTAAGACCTCAACCCCTAAACCCCTCACCCGTGTTCCAATCATGACGGCCTTCCTTCGCCCTTCTGTTCACCCCTAACCGTTGAGGATTGTAGAACCCTTTCAGACCCGATTAACACAAGCTGCAATATGCATTGGAATCCTTCAGGCCCTTTTCCAAAACCCTTGCCCCTTAAATCCTGAAGCCCTAAGTACTAAACCGCTACTAGAAAACCCCAAGCCCTAAACTCAAACCCTTAATCCTTCCTAGACCCCCAACTAGTCTCGAATGTACCTCGAATACCCACTATTGCGGGCCAAAAATACTTTATTGAAGGTCGTGGTGAGCCCTAAACCCAACTTCTCCGACCTTTGCCCTAAACCCAAATCCTTACATTCCGGCGCCTGGATCTGACAATTAGGGTTCAGGGCTTGTAACGGGAATCCGGGTCAGTGATGAACCTTCGCGTGGCTGAGGCCTGCGCCTGCGCAATTGGACTCCAAATCCCGAAACCTGAAGCCCCGAAACTCCACTAACCATTAACCCTTTTTCAGCAAACCTTTAAGCCTAAACGCTGAACCCATCGTTGCCTGAATGTCTAATGTAGCCGCACTCAGCTGCAGCTCTACTGGCCCTTGAATCGTCAACGTGACCTTCGCTTCTTCGGAGACAGTTCAATTGCTAGGAGCGGTGTTTGCTTTCAGGCTGAAATTAGGCGCATCAAGGACGCTGCCTAGACCCCCCGACTACCCTCTAATATACCCCAAATACCCACTATAAAGGGCCACAAGGACTCTATTTCAAGGGCCCTTGGGGAATTCCTGGTGGTTCCCGTTTCCTACTTGTCGGGTATCATGGGGAACTAAAGGTTAGCCTTTTTGGTTATGTAGGGATTCTATATGGACTATACTGCCCAAACAAGGTTAAAGGTTACCTTTTCTACTATTAGGTTACTGAGGCCCCTACATTAGAATCCTTATAATAACCCTTATAGTAGCCCTTATATGTGCCAGCATCCGCGCCCCCCCCCCCCCCCCCCCCCCCATGGTAATCCCCCTCCCCCCCCCCCCCCCCCCCCCCTGTGGTTCCTCTTGGTTTTCCCCCTCCCTTTTGTGGTTCTTCTGGTTCCTGTCTCCCCCCTCCCCCCCTGTGGTTCCTGTGGTTCCTCCGCGTGGTTGCTGCTGCTTTGTTGTTGCTGCTGTTCTTCTTCTTGTTCTTGTTCTTGTTCTTGTTGTGTGGTCGCCCGGGTCGGGGGGGGGGGGATACCATTGGGGGGGGGGGGGGGGGGGGTCGAGAACGCGGAGCGCGGGCACATATAGACCCCTTTAAAGAAACCCTAAAATAAACTCTACTGCTAGGGCTTTATACTGGGGCAGATTGGGACTCACTGCTTCGGAGGATGATGCACGCATGTCTCAGACGACAGAACGGCAATATGTCCCGAAACACCTTAGGAGTCGGAAGTCCGGGGATAATGTAGGAACCTGATTAAGAAACCTTGAGCCTTTATTAGGGCTGCTTGCATGAATCCTGCTGTTTTGGTGTTATAGGCCCAGGGTTTCTTAATCAGGTTCCTACATTAATCTGCAAGACCAGCCGAGGATGTCCAGTTTAGTGTTAAGGTTTGAGGGTTTAGGAGTGTCGGGTTTGTGTCTGTGTGTGTATGCAAAGTTGACTGCATTTGTGCGTTTTGGAAGCTTTTTATGTATGTACGTATGCATGCGTGCATGCATGTGCATACATGCACCATACCATACCCTAAACCCTAAACCCTAAACCCTAAACTCTAAACCGATGGTTTCTTGTCTTCCGGAGCTTGCGGGTTAATAAGTGTTTCAGGCTGCCAGGCCGCGGGGATCAACGTGGAACCGTCGGACCAGCTTACGTTGACGGCTGCCTGCAAGCGGCTTCCTTTGGGCCTTCGGGGAGATCTGAGTTTAGGGCTCCTGAATTTTTAGGGCTCGGTTCGATTATACAGGATTTAGGGCCTGGGGAGTCTTTGGGCGTTGTCGGTTCTCGGGCTCGAAAACGCTTATGTCATATAGGGTTTGCGGCTGAAGTTTCTGTCAGGCTGTTTGTGTGAGGGCTTTCATAAATCCGCTTAAGAGTAGGATTTGGTGTCTGAGGGAGTAAGGGTTTGTGATACAGGGGCGGCAATAATCAGAATCGGGTTCTGGTGCGCGTCATCGTCAACCTAGAATAATGAGCCAACACCCAACACCCTTTATAGAAATGTCTACATGAAACAAAATATCAGGTCCCCTATTATGTAAGACACACTTCCGTCTGAAATTTGCAAGAAGACCATGTCCCAAGCCGCCCATTAGGGCTTCGGGTCTGCAGAATCGAGTATTTGGAGGTTCATGGGTAGTTATAAGTAGGAAAACAAGTAGAGTAACTATACTTGTAACCCATATAAAGGGACTTACAGACCTACTTATGACTACCCCTGAACCTCCAAGTAGGTTTGCTCCGCTGGGTTCTGGCAGAGTTTTGTTTTGTGGGCTCTGACAACAGTTCTTCTGCTCCTCTTGCTAGGATTTGGGCGTTTGCTTCAAGGTTTCGTTTAATCTACTGCACAGGCCCTTTACTCTCTGCTCAAGGCTTTAGGTTTCGGGGCATAGGGTTTAGGTTTCAGGGTTTAAGGTTTAGGGCTTTAGGGTTTTATTTAGGGTCTAGGGTTGGGCGCAAAGCGTTACGTTGGATTCTGAAAAGGTTGCCCGGCCTCTCGCACACCACTTTGGACAACAGGAGAGCCCATCCTCGTTTCGTCGCTTGCACATCTTGCTCTCGGCTTTGGGGCTGAGACACAACCGAACCGAAAACCCTAAAGCTAGGAGCAGTCGGAACAAGCACCTGCACCCTAACCCCTAAACCGTCAAGATCTGTTGACAATCACTCCGTCCAGGCTAGTGTATGGGGCGTTTCGAAGCAGAACCCAGGCGAACGACCAAAGCGGACCAGAAAACCAAAGCGAAGCACTTCGGATTTAGGGCTCATGGCTTCGGGAAGGGACTGGCAGCGCGCGAGCAACCACGCCCCTTTTGGCGCAAAGGTCGCAGGCTCCGTGAGGCCAAAGCCCAGTTTAAGTAACACTATCTCACGAAGATGTCCAAGTAGTCACGCCAGCTAAGGTCCGGCGCAGGTTGCGGCTTCTTCTCTGGAAGGGCATATTTCGATTCGTGCACACCACGGTCGCCCGAGGTCAGGCCCCGATAGCTGGTCCATGCCTCATCCCGGATCATGGCATAGAGGTGCTGAACGAAATAGATGTACCTCAGGTTTTGGGCTTCGGAGTGTAGGGGCTCAGGGGTGAGGGGTTTTTGCGGGTTTATCGTTTAGAAATTTAATGGTCTATTAGGGCTTAGGGGCTTAAGGACTTAGGGTTATGGTTCAAGGGTTTAGGGCTTAGGGCTTACGGTCCGGAATGAGCTTAGGAATGGGCCTAAATGATTAGGGATGTTCGCTGGGAGCTTGGGTCACTGCACCAAGACCCTCCAAAAGGCATCCATGAGGACTCTTTAAGGTTTCTACAATGTAGGGGTCTTTGGTACTTAGACTAGGATTTGGGTGGACATTCCACGGTGCAAGTGCACCGATAAGGAGGAAGCTCAAGGAATATAGCTTTCCTGAGACTGTCTGGTGCTTAGCTTGTAATGGGGAAATGGATCCCCATGATAACCCCCAAGAGTCCCTGTAATAATCCCACTAACCCATTCCCCGGTCCCTGCTAAGAACCAGACAGAAGAACCCACAACCCTCCACCAAGAACAAGCCCAGCCACCATCGAAAACCTGGGACTTTGACAGGATTTCAGTCGGATCCTAGTACTTGGCTTTCAGGGGCTTAAGGGCAACATCCAACATCATAAGCCAAAGAGTTAGTATATAAGCTAGCGATGCTCCCCGCCCGCCCGAAACTATCCTGAGACAGAAACCTGACGTTCAAACCTGTCTTGGTAGTTTGCCTGGCCACGTGTCCGCGTTGGAGAGGGCTTTGCTTTGGTCCAGAGCCATGCAGCCCGTCATACCGTACGCGAAGTCCACGGTTCCAAAGTGGTGCGATGACTCATGGACTAAGTTGCCCGCATGAAAGATGACCTGGGTTGTAGTTTTGGGGCTCTGAAAAGAATTTATGAATAGGTACCTCTATAGAAACCATAAACAGAAGTTAAAACGTTTCCCCCGAATGGCCACCTAGTGACGTTCTGCTTCCAAGTTGGTGGACAAACATGAACCACATAGCGACCAGCGACTTCGAAGGGCTTCGGGTAACGCTCTCCACAGGGATCTTCCGAGACGCTTGGCAAAGCCTGGGTTCTTGTTAAGGAGTTTAATGTAAGTTACCATGGTAAGGAAACCATATTACTTACTGTAGATGCCTATAATGGTAATTTAGAAAACACTCCTCAACAAGAACCCAGAAGCACTGACGTTGAAGTCACAGTAGGTGGACACATAAGCGGCAGAGCTCTCGTTGCACTCAATAGATTCACCGATGCTATCTCCGTGTACCCGCAGGTTCTGCAATACTTCCAGGATATTGCCCAGGTGATCTGCTACCATTCTTTTCACTGGCACAGTATCAGACTTGAACCATTGCCTGAAGATGACATCCACCCTCCCTGGGAAGAGACCATGGGATTGGAAGAAATTCGTGGCGACTTCCAGGTACTTCGTGGCCACTCCGGCGCCTTCCAGGAAATTCTCCTTGTTCTTCTCCCTGACCTCATGAAACCCAAACTTTAATCCCCTAACCTCTAAACACTACGGCTGATGGACAAAATCCTGCGTCACCCATTATAAGGCATTAAAGCCCAAACCCGGATCTTCTCCCCCACCTCATAGCCGTCCGAAGCGAATTTGGGATCGGCATAGGTCTGCAAGACAGAGGTATTGGAGTCTTCCTGGGTTGATTTGGGAGTTTCCGAAAATGGGGACCCTAATATAGTACCCCAAGTAGTAGGATCCTTATTCTAAGGATCCCAAAATGAAGTACCCTCATTTTCGGAAACTCCCATTCAGGGTTTAGGTTCTTAAGCCTTTCTGAAAAATATTCGTGAAAGATGATTCGTAGAAGAAGAACCTGTTAGGCCACATAAGAGGAAGTATAAAGTGTCCCAAAGGCCTACCCAGCTTCTTCCATGTCTGAGATCGAAGGAAGGAGAATAACCTTGGTTGCGGAGTTCAGAAGCCCAAAAGAAAGTGTACACTTTCAGATCTGTGTAGGGGGAATTACATAACAATACAACCCAAAAATATAAAGTGTATTGATTCAGCCACTAAGTAACTTGAAAGAGACGTTGGGTAACATGTCGCAACAAGTCCTCAGTAGACTTCTTTGACCTTCGCACTGCCTCTGACATTCCTGATATCTCCGGCTTCTGAAGCTTCCTTGCTTTTACCACCTCGGCTCCTTGCGGGTCCTTGATGTAATCCAGTTCTGGCGGTGGTGGCACAAGGGGGAGTTTCGCCAAGTCATCGAAAGAAATACTCACCTCCTTGTGGCACCCGTGGTCAAGGCATGCCATGTCCTTTACCGAACTTGGCACCGCTGCAAAAAGTAGCTATTTTTCCAGGGGTTTTATAGTAACCCTAAACCCTAAACCCTAAACCCTGAACCTTAAACCCTAAACCCTAAACCCTAAACCCTGAACCCTAAGCCTTAAACCAGAAAGTGTTTCCAAGTACCTCTACGTGTCAGGCAAGGGAGCCTCTTGGCCCAGGATGTGGCGCATGGAAGCCATCGCTGCCTTGCAGAGGCTTGTGGTTCAGGGTTTACGGTTCAGCTTATTTTATCATGGTGGGGTGTAGAGTTTAGGATTTTGAACTCTTTTTAATGAAAAAGGAATGGTGTTAGTGCTTAGTACTTTAGTATAGGGTTTAAGATTTAAAAGTTTCTACAATGCCAAAAGTCTGGGGTTCAGCTTCCTGCTTGAAAAGTCTAGGGCTTATAAATCTTTTTGGATTTAAAACAGCGAAAGGGTTTAGTGTGTTGCTATAAGGGTTTAGGGCCAAGGGCCCTGCAGAAGTCGACCAGGGAGTTCCGCTCTCGGAGGTCCATCTTCTGCATCAGATCCCAGAGATCCTTGCTTCCCCTCAAAAGCCGAGGAAACAGAAAAGGCTTTAAAGGGATCCTTAAATGGGTCTATAAGGGATCTGTAATAGGGCTCGAAAAAAAAAAAGGGGCCTAAACGATTACCGATACTAGTTCGGGGGTTCCATATTATTTTGGGGCCGTTTAGGTCTTAGGGCACCGGTGATCAGGTACTTGGGCTTCGTACAGTAGATCTGTGGCTTAGCAATCGGGGGAGTATGTGCTTACTTGGGCCTCCAGGGCTCTGCTGCGGAAACAGAACGCAAAACGTTCAGAGATTAATCAAAGAAAAGTTCGACACACCTTTAAGGAGCCCTCAACAAAGCTTGAAGGAACCCTGTTAGGCACCTTTACCTACTTGTCGGGTATCATGGGGAACTGAAGGTTAATCTTTCTGGTTATATAGGGTTCATATAGGGGCTATACTACCCAAAAAAGCTTAAAAGTTGCCTACTCTACTACTAATGGTTCGTTATGCAGGAATCTTACGGCTGCTTAAGGCCTAGGTGACTTAGTAGGTCGGTTATAAGTCTATGGGGATTTATGTAGCAACCTTTTCCAAAAGCCACCAAGTTTCATTCCTGGGCTGGTTCACTGCCTCGGCCAGCTGGCCGACATCAAAGGATCCGTCGACCTCTATTCAAGGACCGTAAAGGTTTCTTCACAGGTTCTTGCAAGGGTTCGGCTAAAGGTACAACCACAAGGCTCTTAAGAAGGGTTCTGCCAAAGGTATCACCAGAGAGGGTTCTATATCGATGCTCGAAGGGGGGGAAGGGCTTTTAGGATGTTAGGGCTTAAGGGTTCTAGGGCTTGGGGCTAAGAACTAAATAAACTCTTTCGCTGCAGGCTTGCTTGCAAGGATGCCTGGTAGGCCTACATAAACCCTAAACCCTATAAGCCCTAAACCCTAATTAAACCCCAAAACCCTAGAATCCTAAAGCCTTTGAAACCCAACATGCCCGAAAGCCCCTGCCTCGATCCCAATCACCTTAGCCGCGGTCTGCAAACGTGCGGTTCCACAGCTTGCCTGGCTTCACCGTTTAGGGCTTAGGGGTTAGGGTATTGAATTTGGGATTCATACGGCGCTGAGGGATTCAACGAGTTGGGGCAATTACACGTGGATTCGTGAAAAGAGGTTTACAGGGCAGCGTGGCTTAAGAATTCCCCCTTCCATGAGCCCTGTTGTGGACCCCTTTCGCCTGTACGAGAACTCCATTCTGTAGACCCTGAACCCCCAGACTCTGGTTGACTCCCTAACCAAGCCTTGCAGGAAAGAACACGAAACCTTCAAAATGCCCCTCCCCTTCCGAAAAAAAAAATGAATATGGGTTATCCAACAAAAGGCCCCTGGCAGGCCCTAAACGAATGAAGGGTTTAGGGTTTGGGGTTTGGGGTTTGGGGTTTAGGGTTTAGGGTTTAGGGCTTAGGGTTTTGTACCCCCTGTAAAGGGCCCTAAAGGAAACGAAGCTTGGTCTCCTCTCCTGCCTCGAGCCGGGACTGGACAGAACTGCGCAAGGCCCCGCAGCGACTCAGCCAGAGAAGCCCCAGGAATAGCAGTGGTGCCATGGAACAAGGATTTCACAAACTTCGAAGGCTTAGGGTTTACCTGTGGACCCTAAAATGACCGACCTATGCTCTTAAGGACCTGAATTAGGGAAATCATAATAGGGGAACCCTTAAAAGGAAGGTTCCAAGGGCCTGGTAGGGCTAAATGAGGGTCCGGTTCAGCATCCTTTCTGTAGTAGTATTATAGGGGCCTTGATAATTAGAGAATGGGGCTTTGGAACCCATTATACTCTAATTATAACAAGGAATCACCAAGTATAGGTAATTATTTAAGGCCCTCCACTATACTACCCTTTAAAGGAACCCTTTCAAGAACCCTTCTAAAGGAATCACTTTTTATAGTAAATCCTAAAGGAAGGCGTTCGATGGGACCCAGGTAGGGTTTGGGGGGAGCGAGGCTTCAGCCTCCAGAGCTGGAGCCTGGCTGCAAAGCGACGATAAAATCCTGAAAGTCGTCTGCTCTGGTTCAGGGTTTTAGGGGTTTCGACTTTAAGGGTTCTAGGGGTTTCGACTTTAAGGGTTCTAGGGGTTTCGACTTTAAGGGTTCTAGGGGTTTCGACTTTAAGGGTTCTAGGGGTTTCGAAGTTCAGGGGTTTAAGGGTTTTAGGGTTTTAGAGATTTACGTTTAAGGGCTCAGGGGTTGTTTTGATTAGGGTTTAGGGCGTAATAGAACCTTACAGCCCTACGGCCCTAACATCCTTTCACTGGCTTTTGGGTTTAGGGTTTACGCTCTCACAACGCGTCTACGCCAGGTGAGGTCTGCTAGGTGCAGGTCGGCGTGACACGAAGTAAAGTGCCTCTCTGGCTTTACCTTAACCCGGAAGATCCTACCTTTTCAAGGCCTTATATAAGGAAATCACCATAACGAACCCTAATAAAGGGAGGTTATTTAGCGTTAAGGTAGGGTTTAGGGCTCTAGCCCGAAGACCCTGCGGCCACGACAAAACCCCCAAAAAAGCCAGAGCCCTCCAGCCTCACAAACCTCACATGACGACCGCCCTCAAAACTCTATCGCCCTAAATCCCCGCAACACCAGAGCCCTCAACCTTAAAACATAAGCTGCCACCAACACTGCGGCTTGGAGGTCGGTAAGGGTTCGAATACCCCACAAAATAAAAATTCAGGTGTCGGGTTTGGGGTTTGGGCCTGGATTCAAGGCTGTAGGGTTTAGGGTTTATGGTGTTCCCCTCCCCGTCCCCCTCCAGCTTTCAGGTCTAAGTATATGCGGGTTGAGTACTAGGACAATTAGGATAGGCGGGGTTGCTGCCACTTTGGAGCTCGATGTTCCGACCATGTTTATCGAGCAGGAGCGATTTGCTCTAATGTAGACCCTTGAGTTTAATAGCCCCCCGCCTTGTGCAATAGCTTAAACAGTCCTACTATCACCCTTGTCACGGCCATGAGAGAAAGGGGTTTATGCATCAGGACTAAGGATCTTCCTGCCAATTCCTTGACACGTGTGCGACCGCCGCATTAACGAGACTAGGGATTTGGGGGTACATGTTGATATGGAAAAACATAAGACATATGGACTACAAGAGTACGCGACTACCTCTAAAACTAACTACTACTACTACCACTACTACTACTACTACTACTACTACTACTACTACTACTACTACTACTACTACTACTACTACTACTACTACTACTACTACTACTACTACTACTACTACTACTACTACTACTACTACTAAACTACTACTACTACTACTACTACTACTACTACTACTACTACTACTACTACTACTAAACTACTACTACTACTACTACTACTACTACTACTACTACTACTACTACTACTACTACTACTACTACTACTACTACTACTACTTAGTTCTACTTCTGCTGCGGGCTTCCATACTTCTCAACCTGCTTCATTCTGAGTGATCAGTGATGAGTTGCTTTTGCCGTATGCACAAATGCCGCAAGCAGTTAGTTAAAGCCACAGCGAAAGGACAATAATTACTCCAAGCCCTAAACCCTCAACCTTAAACCGTTCACTGCAACAGATCGCAAACTGTTCTGGGTTCTATCCGCTATCTGCGAACCCCACCCCAAACGTCTACGTTCCCGCACTACCCTCTGAACGACCGCGAATCCTCAATCCCTCGAAACTGTCCCTCCTTGCGGGCCCCTCAATAGAAACTGTTGCGCCCAGAATCTGAACGGATACCTGCACGGTGCTTTGTGCCGGGACGGTGACCTGGCAAAGCGGGGGGCTTAGCCTTGATTCGAGGGTTCTGATTCCTGCAACTTGGACTCACTTTTGCCGACTACTCTCGGCACAGCAAGGCAGGGTTCAGGGCTTAGCCATTCCTAGGGCCTTCTTTTTCACTAACGGGTTTTGGGTTTGAGAGTTGTTTTGGGTTTAAGAGTTTAGGGCGGAGGGTTTTAGGACTGTTGGGATTGAAAGGCTTGCAAGTGGAGCCGTTAGGGCTTGTCGGGTGTATGGGTCTTATCATTGTTTGGTACAGCTGTGTTCGCAGCCTACCCGTGGTTTTTGGTGTCGAATAATACACGGGCCTAAGAAGCCAAACTCTGGTCATATGCTATTCAATTGTCGTTCCGCAGGCTTAGGCTTTAGGGTCTTACAGTCTTTAGGGCCTTCTACGGGGGTTTCCGAAAATGGGGGACCCTAAGGTAGTACGCTAAAATGGTAGGATCCTTACTAGAAAGACCCCTACATAAGATACCCCTATTGTCGGAAACTCCCATACTATACCAGGTAATCTAACCAGTGGTTTTGGGGTTCCTCTGGCTCTTTAGCTCCTTATTTAATAGGGATTATCATCATCCCTGGCTCCTTAGCTCCTCCAATACCAATGGTTAGTAATACAAGGCTTACGGTTCCAGGTTCATAGCTCGCCTTTCAGAGGCTTTTATCATAAGGGCCGCACTCATTCCGAGCAGGATTTGGGAACGGTATAACGAATAAGGCACCCCCCCGGGAATAGTATTCGAGTTCGAAACTACTCGCTAGTACCGCTGTGTTGCAAGAAGTGCTTTCTGACAGTAAACCCCATAAAGTTGGAAACCGGATTCAGGCCAAATAGTGCTGGGATTCCCTATACGTTAGTCTTAAGGATCGAGGCTATTGGGTTTCCAACTTTTTGGCTTCTACTGTAGCTCTAGTCTCCATTGTAGTTCCTTTTTTTGGTTAACCAAAATCTCTTTTCTAGGATCCTAACCATAAAACTGGTTTGGCTTCTACTGTAGACTTATGCCTGGCATGCTGAAGACAGGCAGATCTCAGGAAGGCCAGCTGCTCAGGAGAAACAGCCCGGACCCTACATCCTCAACCTCAAACTACGGCTTCAGGTTTACTGTAAGGGTCCTGTTGGTTAGGGTTTAGGGTTTAACTTTAGGGTTTAGAGTTAGGACCCGTTCTTTGTCTTGAATCCCTGAACACTCAATCAAAAGCTTAGCATCCAAGTAGACCGCTGACTAAAATCATCCCTCTCTGTCCAGAAAGCAATATGAGGCTTCACAGGAAGTTCTTATGAAAGGATGGGTGTCATTAATCAGTCGTCCTGTGTAAAGTGCTAGAGGCATGAGGGAGTTTTCAAGGCCTCTGAGGGATTACAGTAAAAGCCAGAAAGTTGGAATATGATTATCCTAAACCCTTTATGGTAAATTATAGGGTATCCTACCCTGAAACCATATTCCAACTTTCTGGAGTTCCCTTTAAAGGGTCAGGGCACGGCATGAGTGGAGAAAGTCTCGAGGAAAACCCTCTTTGAACCCGTAGCTCCATCCTAGGATACCCAGTAACCTAGGAATAAAACAGCGCTCCCTTTTTGGTATGCGGTCACTTTTGTGGAACGTGGTACTACTGGGCATCCTAGTATCCAATCAGCCATCCAATCAGCCACGAGGAACACTTCGGGTTGCGAGTTTCGGTTCGGAGGGGCGGGGTGACGAAGGGTGGGACAACGTTAACCAGTCACTCTTCCTAAACCCCTGCGTACAAACATATAAAGAACCACTGACATTAGCGAAAAAGTACATCAGGGGATCTTGCTAGATATTCACGAACCTTTGTTGCAACCCTAAACCCTGAACCTCGGTTAAATTGGGCTCTCCGGGGATCGCAAGGCAAGAGGCGACCACTGTAGCCGACTTGTTCCCTCCCTCCGGGAGGAGCCAAAACCTTGCACTAGCCATAGGCCCCTAGTAGTTCCTGTTTAGGATGACCTCATAGGATTCTAGATATGAACCCCAAATGGAACTACTTCGGGGCCTACGGGTAGCTGTCGCTGGCTACCGGTTTGGGGGCTTTCGCATTTAGGGAATGGGGGTCTTGGAAGCTTCAGGACATGAGGTCCGAGATCCTTTTTTTCCGACTGCTTCGGAGAAGGTTTCGCTCCTGCACGCTGTCATTTCGGCATGGAAGGGCACGGGTGCACCATGGGACATAGGAGCCTTTATAACGATGAATCTTCGAACCCCGCAAGTAGGGTCGGGTCTGTGGTGTGGTGGTATTCAGATTTAGGGTTTAGTGGTTTAAGAGGGGTTGTAGGGTTCTACCATGATGGAACCCTTGTGAAAGGACCCCTCTATCGAGCTCGATTGGGAAACCTAATTTTGCAAAAAAACCTTCTACTCTCATGGCACCCTTTTAAGCAGAAGCCGTAGGCTTAAGGCATTTCCAAGGAGCAGGGCATAGGACTCCGCAGCAGAGACCAAGCCCTCAACATCCAGGATGCCTGCTCGGAGGCCCAGGGGACTTAGTAAGTAGTAAGGTTCCTTAAGGGGCTCCTTAAAAGGGATCTTTAAGGGTTCTATAAGGGGGATTAGGGTTACTTAGAGGCCCAGGGGACTTAGTAAGTAGGTTATAAGTACGGATATATCTACCCTAAATGGAGTTACCCCAATTATAACCCTACTTATAACCTACATACTACTAGTTACATACTACGTGGCCTTAGAAGCCATCGAAGGGACTTCCTGTACGAGCTCTTTGAACGGTTACTGCAAGGGTCGAACGGCTCTATATG